AGTCGCTTAACCAACTGAGCCACCCAGGTGCCCATAAACTATCTTTTTTAAGTTCTAAAGTCCCAAAAAAATAGTGACAAAAATTGTCAGTAAAATGACAATTATGTGGCATATTTCCACATGCAGATACTTTTAATGTGAATTTTACATAAGAATAATTGAAAAGATATGCTAGGATTATAGGCACAGAGTATAATGAGGTTAATGTCAAAATTCCTAGGTGGTTTTAAAGTTACGTTTTAGCTCAAATATGAATGAAGGTCAAAAATTATACCTGAAGCTTTGCCTTTACTTTATACTAATCTTACGTAGAAAATTATTACTCACCCATCAAACTGTATTATTCTCCCTTTCCAAAACACTTTGCCACAGCATTTCTTTTATCAGGGTTATCAGTAAATCTGTCTTACTCTGTCTTCTAGACCTTAAGTCTCTTAAGGAATTGAATTTTCTGTTATTTTAGAGGTATTTAAAATAATTACTGAGTGAAATGGACTAGAGATTTTTATTTTAAAACTGCTATTCAGGAATGGATCTCTGGCATAAATCAGCCCAGGTACTGAGTGCATTACTGTGGGTTCAATGTGCACATTTTCACTGCATTTGTCATAAATACTTGATGAACCTATGCAGAGAACTGTAGCTGGAGTGGAAGTCCAAGATCAGTCTCACCCTACCTTTTAATTATAAAGTTAGGAAAGCAGAGAGGCTAAACGTTGTATGCAGTGGATTAATAGCTACTGTGCTGTACTCACTGTCTTTGAGTAGCCACTAGGCAACACTAGGCTATAGCTTTGTCCCTGTAGTTTGCCTTTTTGTCTCTCATTCCTTGAGGAATTTCCTTCTAGAGCCTCATTTGGACCCCACTACCATACCTGGGTAGGCATAACCACCCCAACTTTCCTTCTCGCCCCACTGTCCCCACTTGAATCTTACTCACCTTCACACACCCAGAGCCTAGCAAGTGAAATGTTTCCTTAATAGATAAGATTTCTTTTCTTTTTTTTTTTTAAAGGTAGCCTATCTAACAACATCGAAAAGAATATGTGAAAGTATAACAATTCTACTTCTAGGAATTTACATTGTGCTGAAAAGAGTTTACGTGGCAGGCCCAAACTGCTTTCCTTGGAAAGGCCTGCTTGCAAGGTTGCCCTTGGCTGGTAGATGGCAACATGGATTTCAGGAGAGTTCCCACCATTTCCTAACTGGATAAGAGTGGCTTACTGTGCCTAAACTGTTTGCACGAACTGTGTGGCTTGTACTAAACACCTGCTCTCCTTCTGGGAGCCCAGGATTTCAGTACATGCGAGAGAGGGAGTGTTTCCATTACCAGCCCTTAATAAAAACCCTGGGCTCCGAGTCTCTAATGAGCTGCCCGGCTAGACCACATCACACATGTTGCTGGAGGAAGTAAGCGTGTTCTTTGTGATTTACTGGGAGAAGACTCCTGGAAACTTGTGCCTGGTGTCCTCCAGCTTTGCCCTATACATCTTTTCCTTTTGCTGATTTTGCACTGTATTCATCACTGTAATAAACCTTCTGTAAGTACGACTATTTGCCAAGTCTTTAAGTCCTCATTCAGCCTGGGGATGGTCTGGAGGAACCCCCGATGAATAGCATCTTAGTTATTTTTAAGGAGGTGAAATATAAAGCCTGAAAAGTCTTGGGCAACAGTTTAAGCTGTTGCCAATTCTCTTCGATAACTTGGGTATTTTAAAGAAACAGCCCAACAACTAACCTTTTATTCAGGTTTTGCCTTATGTAAATGCATATTTTTAAAAGGGTCACTTACAGCAGGATGAAAAACGTTGATGGCTTGAACAGAAGCCTTCCCTTTTTGCTTATACCCGAATACCAAGTCAATCCACTGACAGATGTTCTGGGACACGTAGTCAGACTCTAGAGCCTGTCGATGAATGAGGATAAAAAGACGAGGATCGTTACGTGCCCAAGGAGGGAGGTTGACGTGATTAACCCGTTCACCATTCTGACGCACACCAAAATCAAAACCTAAAAGAGAAGATTAATATTAATGTTTATCTCCCCAAAGCATGCCTCATCTGGCCCACTGAGCAGGTCTTAAGAGGTTCCAGAAACAGATATTATGTGCTATAACCAGGGAAAGCAGAGGCAAAGAGAAGACTGACATCACTGCTCATCTACTTACTTACCTACTGATAGAACTACATGGGTTAATGCTATCCTCATTAAATTTGAGATCTTTCAACTTTATCCTTCTACCACTTTATATCACATTGAAAAAACAGCAGAAAATCACTGCCAACTAATTTCAACATTCTACTTATCAGAATTTCAAATGTAGTAAGTGCTTAAATAGCTATTCAATTATAAACTCGATTAAAATCAAACTAAGGTGTTAACATCACAATAAATTTATACTAGCATTCTGTAGTTTAAAAAAATCCAACTAATGCAAAGTATACACATTCCTAAATGAACTATTAATTTTATGTTAAGTCTGGAGGTCTGTCCTGACATTTCCACTAAGCATTCCTATGGACAACAAAATTATCCCAACACATTGAATTAGAGGGTTCTTCTGTGATCTAAATAAGCTGTTCTCTAATTGTTTCATTAGTCTGCTAGTGTAAACACAAATCTCAGAAGTGTTTCTTTCAAAAAAAAAACCACAACTGTCCTAAAAGAAATGTTATAGAAATATTTTTGTGCTACCTTTTATGGACAGAAAATCTGAACACCATAACAGAATAAATTAAATTAAATTAAAATAAATTAAAAAGGAAATCTTAAAAGCTGATTACACGCCATATAAAATTAAGTTGCTGTCTGCCTCCTTCTAGATCTTGTGAAAACAGTTAGAAGGATATTCACTAATTTTGGAAGTATTTTGAAATGATATGATGTGAAATATAAACCAAGGGCTTATGTAAATGAACACGGAGTGAGGGTGGGGGTCATCTCCAAAAGCTCAGCTCATCCTATAGACACCTGCAGAGTGATTTAGGACAGACTGGCCAAGAATCTACAGAACTCTATGTGGGCAGCTCCAGGAGAAGCAACAGGGATTTATTGATTTAACAATAGTGAATGAGACTTCTAAGGGCTGAGCTGGGGAGGGGCTGAGCAGCAGGGGGTCTGTATAAACTCAAATCATTCTCAACTGTCAAATGCTCTGGGGACACATCACAGGTAGGCACTCTTCACACACAGCAGATGACTGGAAGTACAATGAAAGGCTTATCAGAATGCTGATAGGAAAGGACATGATGTACATGATAGCAAACAATATTTTCCAAAAATAGCTATAACAACCCTTGCTGTGTTGCAGGCTTTTCCAGAATCCTGCTACTCCCCCATCAAGTAGCAAAGTCTATGCTCCCTCCTTTTGAATGTGGGCAGCACTGGTGAACGGAATGTAGTAGGAGTGCCGCTCTGTGACCTCCAAGGCGAGGTTCGTAAAGGCCCTGCAGCTTCTGCTCGTCTCTCTCTTGGGACACTCGCCTTTGGAACCCCGAGTTGCCAAGGAGAATGTCCAAGGCCACCATGCTGTGAGGAAGCACAAACTAGTCCACGTGGAGAGACCACATGGAAAACCATGGACACTACATAAAGAGAGATGCCTGCCGGCCCCCAGCTTCTCTGATCCCCTGGCTGGTCCAGCTCCAGCTAATCTGAATGCAGACCCTGAGCCCAAACCACTAAAGGCACTGGGCTGAGCTGCTTCTGAATTTCTGACCTCCAAAACCTGTAATGACAATAAATTTATTGTTGTTTTGAGGCACTAAGTGTTGGAGGTATTTGTTATGCAGCCAGAGATAACGGAAACATACATATAAGAAACCATGGACAGAGAAAACAAGCATAGATTGAAATGAGTCCCAAGCCGAAAGCTACAAGGCAGGTACTCCAAACTGCGGGTGCTGACAACACTGAGGCATTTCTCATTTGGGCAACACTATGAACCGTGCTCCAGGTGATTAGCCGCATGGATTTATTAACGATTCTCCAAACCACTCCAGAGGGGCCAGTTAGTATAGAATAAAATTCTAAAGCAATTTTCCCAACACTAACTTCTCTGAAGATATAATTATCAATTTCATGTATTCCTAAAGGTCACATAAAAATATAAAATTAAGTAAGGTAGGAAAATGACCCACAAACATCTCTCAAAGAGCTACCTGGTCTTCTACTAAAAAATGGGTAAGGTTGGCAGAGATTATTGGTCATTGGCATCACAAAAAATTTGATTTTATCCTCTACTATTCCTTTTTGGTATTAGAAGATTCTAGCTAGGGTGTTTTATTTATAAGTTGGTCACTCTGCATAAAATCATTGAGATTTTGGTTAACTTACATTGTGCTTTCAATAAATTCATGACTTTTTAAAATAATGAGCATATGATAACCGTTACAATCAGAAAAAAGAAGCATTTCTGTAAAAACTAAAATACATGTTTACAAATACCTTTAATAGTTAAAAGTTACCAATTTTCCACACATATTTAGTCCTATAAAATAGTTACAATCTTCATGCTCACTTGGAAATAAAATGATAGACTTGATAAATAAAGGTATTTCTCTTATTTGGGGATCAAATTATAGGACTTAAAAAAAGCTATTCTTATTTTTAGAAAAGTATAAAATAAGTACAGAATTATAAATTAGAAACGATTTACTGCTATACCTTCACGGTTGACTAAGAACTCTGGAAGATAAAAAAACTCTGGGATAAGTTCTTTGACATCAGTCATGGATTCAAAAGATGAGAGGCGCCAAGTTGTATTTGTAGAATGAAAAGTTCTGTCTGGAATGTCAAAACTTTGATCTATAAAGAAAGACAAACAATGCAGTTAAGACACAAAGACCTTATTCTATTTGAAGCTTGTTATAATTAGTTTAACTTCTGCTACTTAGAAAAGATTAAAATGATGTTCATTTTGTTTTCCAGTTTTAAAGAGGTTATTCATGTTCTTGAAAATATATATTTCTATACATAATTTGAGACCGTATTATAGTATTTTTAATCTATATTATGTTTTCCTAGTACATATAAATGGATGAATTTATATCATTTATTTGTTTGATTGATTACTATCTGCTTACTCAAGCAGAATTAAAGTCCCATAACAGCAGGGACCTGAGGAATCACCCACAACGAGCACATACTAAGTACTTGATAATGACTTATTTATTGAATGAATGAATAATTAAAGGTAAATTAAAGTTCAAGTGTGTAAAACAGTTTTTTCCCCAACAGAAAGCAAAATTATTCCTTCACCTTTAATAATTTTTTAAAAGATTTTATTTATTTATTTGACAGAGAAGAGAGAACACAAGCAGGGGGGAGCAGCAGAGGGAGAGGGAGAAACAGGCTCCCCACTGAGGAGCCCAACGTGGGGCTCGATCCCAGGACCCTGAGACCACAACCCAAGCTGAAGGCAGACGCTTAACCAACTGAGCCACCCAGGTGCCCTCCTTCACCTTTAATAATTAAGACAACTTTTTTCTTTTTTGGGGGGAGAGCATTCCTTTTTAGATATAACTGAACTAAAGAATGAAGTACAATTTCCTATAAACTAAAAAACTAAACACAGTCACTCCTCTGTTAAGTTTTTCTGCTGTAGGAATTAAGGACTGAGTTTTGACCTGTCTCTTTTCCTGTCAATAGTTAGCAGACCCGAGCCACAGGGCAAGCCTAGAACATGAAACGATACCCAAAGGCCAGCCCTGAGGACACCAGTGGTGTACATTGTACCATCTAAAACTCCTTTGAAGTCGCTGAAATTTTGAACTTATCTTTTCATTTAGAGACTGTCACAGACTAATCTCAGCATCAAGCAAGGCACAATTTTAGAAAGATATGCTAAGCTTCTTCCCCAAGTCTGCGCTTCCCTGTCCAGCAACATTTTCTATTACTTTTATTACTTTCTCATCTATTGAGTCAGTCAGCCCAGGGGAAAAAGTAACCCATCTAAATGGCATCTAGAAAAAGCAATTCTGTAAGGCTATGGCAGAGTCACAGTACCTAGAATAGAGATTACAGAACTATGGCACGAAAGAAGCACACTGAGGATTCTGTTCAGATTGTCAAATTCTTCATTGTTTTTTAACTTAAAAAAAAAGTAGTACTACAAATTTCTATAATCTAGAACGTGCATGTACTAAACCAGTGGTTCTGAAGCTAGCACTTCTGTCCCCTAGACATTTAGCAATGTCTAGAGATATTTTTGGTTCTCACAACTGAACTGGTGGGGGAATGCCATTGGCATTAAGTGGGTAGAGGCCAGGGATGCTACAAAATAGCCTATAATGCACAGGACAGTCCTCACAACAAGAATTATGCACCTCAAAATGACCACAGGGCCAAGGTGAGAAGCCCTGGACTAAGCCCGGAGTCTAGAGATAAATTCAAAAGCCAACATAAATCATTTCCAGCTAATCAGATGAAATTGATGGGGATTGCAGTAGCCTCTGTTTTTTTTTTTTAAATCATTCTTAAATACACAATGAAGAAAACTTAGCATACTAGCAATAAATATTAAAAAATTAAGAAATTTCAGTCGATTGGGAGTTTTGTATTAATAGATTCTTGGCTACACGAAAAAAGTGGAGGGCAGGAAGAGTTCTGTTACACACTGCAGCAGTCCCAAACCACATCTGAAATATTCTTTCTTATTCTGAGTACCACTTTTTAATAAGGGCATCTGCAAACCAGAACACGTCCAGAAGGATGATCAGAAGAGTGACAGGTTTGGAAACCAGAGCAAACAAGGATGGCTTACACGTTAGTTTTAAAAACTCTTCAGTAAGTACTGAACGATCTTATTTATTTTTTGTATCCCTGTAGCAGCCGGGATAAGACCCTGCATATAGGAGGCTCTCAAACTGATGTCAAATTAACGAAGGATAATTAGCTTGGGGATAAACACGACTGAGAGGGAGAGAGGGGACAGGGCAATAGTCTTCAAGTATCACAACAGCTGTCACGTGGAACAGTGGCTCTGTGCACTTGCATGGGGACAAATAGAAGAAAGCCCCTTCTGTGGACCAAGTAGAGACCACACACAATCCATTCCTCCGAGAGGTGGCATGTGAGTAAAAATACATAAAGAAGTTCAAGAAGGGGTGAGTAAATGAATGGATGATGACCCCACAAAGGACTCTGCGGGCCACGAGGAACAACTCGGAGCTCATACCACAGTCCTCATTAGAAACCGATAGGAGCGTATGTCCCTATTTGCACACAAGTCAGTGAATTCACCTCTAAGTAATCTCCCCGCCTACAGGCTGTCACTCAAAACACTGAGGTAGAAGATTATTATTATTATTATGTTCTTTTTTTTTTTTTGAGAGAGAGAGAGACCGAGCAGGGAGGAGGGGCAGAGAGAGAGGAGACTCTTAAGAAGGCTCCACATTGGGGGGCTTGATCTCACGACGCTGAAATCATGACCTGAGCCAAAATCAAGAGCCTGACGCTCAACCGACTGAGCCCCCCAGGTGCCCCTGAGGTAGAAGTTTATTAGCTAGATAGTTACTATGGTGAAGGCGGCAGTGTGGCTCTCCTATTAACTAGTTACTTATAATAAATTATAGTAACATATTCCCTGTATCTAAAGATAACTTACATGATCTGAAATAACTATTAAATTGAACATCTTTAAAAAGTGAATTGCATACATCTGATAAGGATAAATTTTATGGTATGTGAATTACATCCTATTTTTTAAAAAGAGAATTACATTTTTATAAACTTAGACATGTCTAATTTGCAGCTAAAATTTGCCATTTAACAAGATAATGTGGTTTACTACAAATTTTTTGAATAGAATTTTATGGGAGGAATAAATAGAATTCTTCTTCCTGTGGTTTGATTAGTCTCAATACAGTCTCAGAAAGTATGTCAAGTTTTTTTTTCCCCTGATGACCAATAAGATATTTTAGGTAGTTATAGAATAATTCTTACCTTGATAGGCTAAAAACATTTTTGTGAAAGGAGGCATCCTGACCAGGAAGTGAAGCACAGTTCCACTGTTAGAATAGTGGGAGCCATAGTGGTAGGGCTGCACGGGAGGCATGGGGTCATCTTCCCTAGCTCCTTTGCGGTACTCCTCCTCCAGGTACTGAAGGAAACAGGGAATCAGACAGTATTCATGAGAGAGTGCTCCAGGCAAAGCTGGAAAAGCCTCACTAGTTTTCTTTCCATCTTCGCTACTACTCCCCCTTTTTAAAAATTATTATTTTATTTTTTATTTTGAGAGAGAGAGAGAGCGCACACAAGTGGTGGTGGTGGGGGGGGCAGAGAGAAAGAGAGAATCCCAAGCAGGCTCCACACTCAGCATACAGCCCGACACAGGGCTCTATCTCATGACCCGAGCCGAAATCAAGAGTTGGACGCTCAACCAACTGAACCACCCAGGGGCCCCTCTACCAGCCCTTTGACGCCATTTTCCATGGCTTGCCGTCCCACCTGTGTTTGGACCTCAGCCACCTGGAGCATCTCCTCCTTGGTGCCCCGCTGAGGCCCGGCCACTCGAGAAGCATGTCACAGTGTGCACCTTTATTCTCTCATTCTGTCACAGGAAACTCACCGATTCTGCACCCTGCCTCCCAGCTCTCTGGCTCCCAACACGGCCTAGAATGTTTAAGCTGATCAAGCGCTCAATAAATGAGAGCTGCTACTGTCACTAGAGACGTCTGCATTTTAAAAATGAGTCTCAAGATACAATGCTATGTTCTTTAGAGAACCTCTCTAGCGGTGGAAAAGCAATAGCAATGGAAAAACTGTACCACGTTATTGAAGTTCTCAGGTATTAACGAACCATTTTATGGCTGTTCTTCAATGTAGTTACACTGAGATAAAAACGAATACAGTGATTTTTCACGACTGCTATCTTCCCATCATGAAGTAGGAAGCTCAACCGAATATTTACTATCTGTCACTCATCTCCCATAGCTTCTGTCTGGCTCTGATAACAAAGTCAGGTGATAGTGAATTTCTGGAATCACTTCTCCTTGATTCCATAGCACTGCCCCATTTTCAACTGCAGAGGAATCAAGGAGTGACAGTTATAAGACACTTGGCGAGATCTTTCTGGAACTGTGACACAGAACAATGTGAATGCGAGAAACCTGCTTCAGCTGCTCTTACCTCAATACTGCTGTGAAGAATGCAGCATGTGGCTAATGAGTTTTTAAAAAATTTCCAACAGAATTCCATGAATGTTAATTTCTCAGAAATAGATAATTTATACTTCCAACTTTAAAATCTGGTAAATTTCTGCTAATAAATGATTGCATAATTTGCTAAATATGAATAATAAGGAATTCTGGTGCATTATAAATAGACTGATATTGTTATATAAATAACACTAGGGGATACAAATAGCGGGTCCCTGAAAATCGGTGATTTTTAAAAGAAATATAGTTATTTATATATGGATACAACAATGGATTATTAGCTTCCAATTTATGCCACAAGAAGTGTATTTCTTTTTCTGGGCAAAGTGTTTTCATAGAACTGAGACAGATAATAATATCTAAAATCATATAATGATTTCCAATTGCCTGTCACCCAAAGCACAAGAAAGAAAAAACAGAAAAATCAATATTATAAATTTAAAATTAGGTAAAACACAAGCCTATAGAATAAAACTTGAATTTTCATTTATCAAAATATGAGGAAAAACGAAACCTACCTTGTAGGTGTCCACATAACGATCTTCTTTTTCTTTATACTGCACAGCTATAGGCTTAGAGAGATTCCTACAAATGAAGAGAGGATGGAAAAAGATGAAGTATTTTGATACTGTTAAGATTAAGCTGTCTACACACCTGCGTCCTGTAAGTAAATCTGTGATCAGCAAACACTTGGCCTTAGTTTAGTGCTTACATATGTTGCTTTGCAACTAACAGCCATCATTCAAGATTATGATTGAATCAATTGGTCCAAGGTAGAATTTTCCTACACAGATCCATACCAATCTCAGGAATTCCTGACTTACGAGTAGCCTAGACAAGAAGAGCTGCTGCTTCCTCTGCTTCCTCCAGAATCATAACTGATGCTGCCCAGGGCAGCTGATTCCTGCTGAGCCCTGACGTTCCTGTCCCCATTTTCCAGACCTACACCTGTTCAGGCAGTGAAGACTGAAGGGTGGTTTGGATGGGAGATATGGTCCTGAGGAGATGTTATGTAATTATTGGACTAGTTACTGAAAATTAAAGAAAAGACACTTAAAAAATTTTTTTTTAAATTTTAAGTAGGCCCCACGCCCAATGTGGGGCTTGAACTCATGACCCTGATAGTAAGAGTCACATGCTCTACTGACTGAGCCAGCCAGGCGCCCCCAAATGACACACGTTTAAAATGACCAAGTGGAGACTTGGAGTGTGAGTACTAAAATAAATGTTTTGTTGTCTAATTCATAGATGGGGAGTGACATCCTTGTTCACAGAGTAGAGATGTGTCTGTGCTGGTGTTCACTTGAAAGAGCAAGAGGAAAAGATCCACCGAGGGAGCAGTCTCCCTGGCTGAGGGGCCACCTGGACTGGCATGGGGTGTGGTCATCTGGAGTTTCAACATCTGGCTCCGTAACTAGATCAACATCAAGATTTGCCCAAAGTTCAGTGGCTCAAACCAGGTCTGCTGAGCCAGATGTTAATATACCTATTTCCTAGGGATATTGACATTAGTGATAGTAAACACTAATTTTGTTTTTGAGACCTTTCCAATCCTAAAAAATTTGTTAAAAAGTAAAAACAGTTTTATAGAATAGATACAAATTCACATCTCAAAGTAGGAGAAATCGTGTGTAAGATCTGGGCATGCAGTTTTTTCTAAACAGTGTAAATAGGTGTTTTTGAACGTAAGTACTACTTACTGTTGTGGTTGAAAAATCAGAAATTACTGATGAGCAGACAGAATAACCCTCAAATCAGCTATAATACTATTATTCACAGGTAAAACATTTCAGTATATACCTTTCCAGATGTTTTTCTGGTTATCTGTATACGTATATTCATGTTTAAAATAAAAATAACAGCTTTCCCCACCTATACTGTATATTTCTAAAATACCATTTTTAATGGCTGTAATGTAAAACAGTTTACTAAAACCTAGTGTTGGGCATTGGGGTTGTTTCTAAATTTTAGCTACTTAAAAAAAATGATGTAAGGACTATCCATCCATATGGCCAAATCGTTGCATGCAGTGCCAGGCACCATTATCGGCAGTGAACCAGGCAGAGTTCTTACCCTAATGACACTTACTTCCAGTGGGAACCTTTCTGGTAAAGTACATATTCTTAAGTATTCCTAAAAATAAAAAATCCCAGAAGTTAAGTTGCTAAAACAGAGTATGCACATTTGAAGAGTTCTTTGGCATATTATATATCGTCAAACTGCCTTCCAGAAAGATTGGATCTATTTATACTAATAGAGTAAAAATGTCTAAATGTCCATCAGCAGTGTATAAAAATGTCTGGAAGATAAATAACATGCCACTTGCTATTTTTTAAATTGACAAATATATTAAACTCTATCTGATTTCTTGAAAACTGCCTTAAGCTAGGCCTACTTTTCAGTAGTTATAATTAAAATATTCTAAAAATATATATATTCTAATATACCAAGTAGAATATTTGGAGTCAAATTTTCTTTAAATTACATAAGAGAACTTTTTTTTTTTTAAATAAATAACCAGAATATTTCCTCATCAACTACTAGGGCTATGTGGTTACTCTAAAATGCAATTCATTCAAGAAAGGCAGGATAAATGCTTAATTCTTTTGCTTTAATTGCCAAATTTCAAAAGTAAGGAATTGGGGTCCTAGTTACATCCAATGGCGACCAGTAAGTTTGTTTTGGGGGCCTTAAGAAAGTATCATTATTAACTTAAGTGTTTTTTTAAGTTGAAATGTGTTTTAATCAATTGTAGTCATTATTCTTCCTGATGCTCAGATTGTCCCATCTTTGGCAGTGAGAGCCACTTCAAGTTGGCTCCTGAGTCCTTTATTTATTTATTTTTTTGATTGTGGTAAAAACCACACAGTACAAAATTTATAATCGTAACAATCCTCAAGTATACAGTTCAATAGTGTTGACCATATTTACACTGTTGTATAACAGATGCCTAGAACTTTTTCATCTTGTAAAACTCTACCCACACAGAACAACTCCCCACCTCCCCCTCCCCTGTTTATCCCTGTCCCCGAGCAACCACCATTCCCCTCTCTGCCTCTGAGTCTAATGACCCTAGATAACTCTCATAAGTGGAATGTCACAATATTTGTCTTTTCTGTGGCTGGCTTATTTCACTTTGCACAATGTCCCCAAGGTTCATCCAGGGTACAGCGTATGACAGGACTTCCCTCCTTCTTAAGGCTGAATGATATTCCATTGTACGTATGGTACCACAAATTCTCCATCCATCCATCCACAGACAGACACGGGCTGCCTCCCCGACTTGGCTGTTGTGAATAATGTGGCAATGAACATAGGTATGCAAATATGGCCCCCACATCCTTCTGACAAGACTATCAGTTTCCTTGCTTTCTGATATAATAAATATCCCAGGTTCACCTTATATATTTTCTTCTAAAAAATTTTAGAAGAAATGAGAGAATAGGAAGTCACCATTTTGTGACCCCTAGTGAAATAAATAACCGACTTAAGAGATAACCATCAATGACAGAAACAAGTTCAATGGATGCCTGATACCATGGATCAATCTGAACATCATTAGAGTGGGATATCATATGTTTCCTGAGATGGACAATATGAAGTTCACACCACAACCGATAAAGTATTCTTGCCAAAAAAAATTGAACCTCAATCTAAGCAAGCCTTTAGAACTAATTTCCAGTCTCTAGGAAATACAGAGGCTAAAGGAAGAAGGTAAATACTAACAAGGGAATGGGAGATATCCTACAAAATAAACGACCTGTTTTTCTTCAACAAGTCAATGTTAGGAAAAAAGAAAGAGGAAAATGCATACCAAATAACAAAGGCTTATTCTAGATTTATGTCTTTGGAGACATAGCAACCAAAGGTGATATTGGGCCTGATATAAGCCAATCAACTATAAAAAGACATCTTTCATGAATTGGGGGGACATTGGAAAATGGACTGGGTATTAGATGACACCATGAAATTATTGTTAAATTTTCTTAGATATGATAATGGCACTATAACATATTAAGTAAGAAAATGTTCTGTACTTTCTTAAGAGATGTGTGCTGAAGAACACAGGAATAATGTAACAAGATTGTCCATGATTTGTCTTAAAAAGAAAAAAGATGATACAAGTTTGGCAGAAATCTTCATAATTGTCGAGCTGATGTTATGGACAGATGGGGCTTGTTGTATATTCCTTCTATATTGGTGCATGGTTGAAAAGTCTCATGATAGGTCTTTAATGAAATAAAGACAGCATATGGACAAAGCTAATAGGTGATAATGTTTTTAGTTACCTGTAGACTGATGGATCACTGAGGTCAAGGGTCTCACTAACATAGTCAGCAAGTATGAACGGGAACACTGGATACTGCATGAGATCATTGAAGGATCGGCCGGCATGTTTGTTTAGGTGAGTCAAATATTCAAAGTTAGTAATTTGTCCAGTATACCATAAATTTGTCAGAGCATTGATGTTGCCATATTCCAGGAGATTAGGGAGGTTATTTGTTAGTATACTGTGGTACACATCATCACGAACCTGCAAGGGAAGGAGAAAAAAAAACAACAACAGATTTTCTTTTAGGCTACTGATACTTTTCTCCAAAGTCTCCATATTTTAGGCATGTTACTAATATCAAGGCCACCAAGAAAATACTCGCTGCCCGACTAACATCAACTGGTGGCGAACTGAGATTCAACTCTGGGTCTTCCTCCAAAGGCTGGACTCTTAACCATTATGTTTTGCTGGAGAAATCGGTCAATAAGAAGGTAAGAAAAAGTTTGTATAGAAGAGTCACTTATATATAGATCCTGAAAAAAAATCAATAAAGGATAAAGAAGAATCTTCATCTAAATAAATGCAACATGATATTGTAGAAAGAGCATGGTCTTCTTAGACAGACATGGCCTGATTTCCAGCTTAAAACCTTTGTGTTACAGTTATCATATCTGTAATATGGGAATAATAATATTTATTTCATGAATAGGAAATAAAATACCCTATGTAAAATATGATATTTGATTTTCACTACTGATTGAAAACCAATAAACTTTGGTTTTCTTTTTTTTTTTTTAGAGATTCACAAAACTTGTCACAGAAAAAGGTAATATGATTTTTTCTAAAGTCATTAAATGATGATTGGTAATAAATGGGAAAAAATAGACAAGCCAGGCCTTTACTAAAAACAAATTTGAAATATCTATCTTAAATGTGTAGTGTATGTACTTCAGGCATAGGAACAAGAGCAGCAGATGTGGATAACCAGAGACAGGACTAAAAGTAAGTGAGGAAATGGAGCTATGGCTATGGAACAGGCAAGGTCACAGAAGGTTTAAAAACCTACATCTGGAACCTGTTCCACAACAATGTGAATATACTTAACACACACAAATGGCTAAAATGAGGGCACCTGGGTGGCTCAGTCGGTTAAGCGTCTGCCTTCGGCTCAGGTTGTGATCCCAGGGTCCTGGGATTGAGTCCTGCATCAGGCTCCCTGCTCAGCGAGGAGTCTGCTTCTCCCTCTGCCTCCCTCCACCTCTTCCACTCGTGCTCACTCACTCTTTCTCTCAAATAAATAAATAAAATCTTAAAAAAAAATTGGCCATCTTATTTTACGTATTTTCTTACCACAATAAAAAAAAAAAGTAATAGGCTCAAGGAAAAACAAACAGAAAACCTAAACCTGTAGTTTAAATCTGAAGACTGCCACCTTCTAAAGCTAAGGTTGATGGAAGGGAGTTTATGACAGACTGCATACCAAACTCTGCAAGAAAAAGGAAGCATTCATTCATTTGACAAGTATTGATCAGGCACCTACATTCAAGCTGTTGAAGCTATAGCACTTAACAAAACAAAGTGTTTACATTTTATTGGAGAGACAATGTTGGATGTTATTAAGAGCTATAGAGAAGAACAGAGCAAAGGAAAGGAGGCTTGGGGGTAGAAGTGAGAGAAGGGTTGCCATTTTATTAAGAGTAGTCCAGAGGGTCTGATAAGGAGACATTTGATCAAGGAACCTGAAAAAGTGAGGTGAGTCATGTGAATTTCAAAAAGGAAAAACATTCCAGGCTGTGTTCCCAGGAGCAGGAGTGGTAAGTGCAAAGGCCCTGAAGCATTAGTGTGCCTAGTCAAGGAAAACAAAGTCGCCATGGATGGAGTGGAGCAAGCAGGGGCTAGAATGATAGAAAAGAAGGTCAATGAGATAACAAGATGCCAGATAACTCAGTGTTTCATTAAGCTATTATAAGGACTTTGGCATTAACCAAGTAAGACAGGAAGTGACTGGAGGGTTTTGAGCAGAGGGATTGCATGATCCAATATACCTTAGCTATCGTGTTGAGAATAGTCTGAAAGAAGGGGGAGTATGGAAGCAGGGAGGACAGTTAGGAGGCTATTGTAATGATTTAGGCAAGAGATGATGCTGGCTTAGACCAGTAGTGTAAGTAGCCAGATTGTGGACCTGTTTTGAGGGGAGAGTCAGCAGGACTGATAGAGTAGGCGTGGGGCATGAAAGAATATGAGGAGTCTAGGATAATCCCAAAATTTTTAGCCTGGGCCATCAGACAGATTGAGTTGCCAATTTTTGAAATGGGGAAAACGGCAAAGAGATTCTGAGGGGGAAGATTAGAAGCTTGGTTTTGTGCATGCTCAATACGAGATGCCGATTTGACTTCCAAGTGGAGATGCCAAGTAGGGAGTTAAGTATTTGAGTGTGGCATTCCCGGGCGAGGTTTGGGTAGGGATATAAATTTGAAAGCTGTTTCAATACAGGTAGTATTTAAAGTCACAAGAGTGGATGAGAAGAGAACAGGTCTGTGGAATGAGCCTGGAGGTATTCCAAGAAGCATCCTGGAGGAAGACTGAGAAGGAATGACTGTCCTTAAGGCAGGAGGAGAGCTAACGAAAAGTGATGACCCAGAAACCTAGTGAAGAAGATTATTTTTTTTTCAAGATTTTATCTATTTCTTTATTTGAGAGAGTGCGGCAGGGGGGGAGGGAAAGGGGGGAGGGAGAGGCACAAGCAGACACCCCACTGAGCACAGAGCCCAATGCAGGGCTCGATCTCATGGCCCTGATCATGACCTAGTCAAAACCAAGAGTTGGAAGCTCAACTGCTCAATCAACTGCAGCACCCAGGTGCCCTGGAAAGGTTATTATTATTATTATTTTTTTTTTTTTTTTTTTTTTAAGAAAGAGAAAACAATCACTGGTGTCAAATGCTGCTGATAGGTCAAGTAAAATAAGGACCGAGAAATTTGACCATCGGGTTTAGACATGGGGGTCACTAAGAACCCCGGCCAGAATTCTAGGTGAAGTAGTGAGAAGAAAACCAGTCAGGAGCATTTCAAAAGAGAACTGGAGGCAGCGAGCACACATAACTTTTTCAAACTTTTCCAAAAGGTTTTCTATAAAGGACAGCAGACAAACTGTAGTGGAAGGGATGTAGGGTTAAGAAAGGGTTTATAAAATATAGAATCTAATCTCAAGTTTAAATTACTCTCTTCAGGTTGGTTATGCATTCACTTACTTTTACAGATACAGTGACTTCGGAGAATCTGAATTTAACACTGTTTCGAAGGACAAAAATCATTCTAATATAGCCAAGGGTTCACTTTAATTAGGACTAAGAAATAAGGCAGTTTTTATTTGATGTCAGAAACAGTGAATCAAAGTTTAAATAAGTTAAACCTTGATAAAATCAGTATGAGTATAGTTACACTGATCCCATGATAATTTCAAAAATTATCTGTTAATAAAGCCGAATTTACCTTGGTGTTATCAAATGCTAACAGGAGTGTTCTACCATTTGTTAAAAAGATTTCTACAGCATTGTCTCTCAACTGCCACCAACGCTTGTGGACTTCTTTAATTTCTTCATATGTCCAGGAGAAGGATGCTGGTTCCAATTCTCCCTGAAGGCTCTAAGACAAAAGAAATAAATGAAAGTGTTTGCTTTATAGGAAATATAAATAATCATTTTAAAACTATCCAAATGAAATAAAATGTCTTCCCTTGTGGCAATATGGCAGATAAGATTCCCTGACCGGCCCCACCCCCTCACTACAAAACACTTCAAAATGCTGGACGAAATGTAATGAATTAAAAAAATACAGACTGTTTTTGTATTTTTTAAATTTTAAATAGACTTTACTTTTTAGAGCAGTTTTAGGTTTGCAGGAAACTGAGCAGATAGTGTAGAGAGTTCCCATGTATTCCCTGCCTGCACTCACAACTTCCCTATGATTATCATCTCCCATTAGTGTGAGCGGTGGGGTGCCTTTGTAATAATTGTTGAGCCAATATTGAATACATTATTCTTAACCAAAGGCCATAGTTTACATTAGGGTTCACTCTCCGTGTTATGCAGTTCTGTGGGTTTTGACTAATGTTTCCTGTGGAATGTGTCCACCATTACAGTACCATACAGAATTCCCTTGTGCCCCACCTTGTCATCCCCTCCTGCCCCGTGGACCCCTGATCTTTTTACTATCTCCATAGTTTTCCCTTCCCAGAATGTCATATGGTTAGAATCATAAAATATGTAGCTTTTCCAGACTGACTTATTTTAAAGCTGAGCTTGCAAGAAATTAAGGGGAAATGAAAGCCCCAGGAGCCAAAACTAACAAGAAATGTGAAAAGCAGCAGGGAGGTGGAGGGGACACTTTGGCAGCAGGCTCACAGGGTTCAGAGACCACATGACTTAGGTTAACGTCCACTTGAAGAAAGAAGATGAGGCACTGGGTCCTCTGGATCAGAGTACGGAAAATGAAATTACTTCAGAAATCTAAAACCCATTAAGGGACATTGTCCCAATCACAGACAAACACACGTGCCCATCAATAGAGGAAGAAGCAGGAGCTTGTCTCTCTTGGCCTGGAGTCTGGCTGGAGAATGGAAAACAAGCCCCTCCCTGAGAACTCAAGAGCTGCGGGCCTGCCCACACATGGATTTGGGTTAAAATTGACCTATCTGCGTGGCCTGGGAGCTCCCCAGCTTTGACGCATAGTTCCCATGCCTCTGAATCTTCCAGGAAAGGCAAAGCAGCCTCCTGCCAGTTCAGTCCCACTGACTGTAAGTTCATAGATCATCATGTACCAGATGGCTATGTTCCTCTCCCATGTGGTCAGCAGAAGGAAGGAAGAGATAAAGTGACCACCAGAAGGCTAGATCTTCCTGACAGCATTAATCCTAGCCTCCCTCATCAAATCCCCATATTCCTTTTTTTTTTGTCAGAGAGAGAGGGAGACAGAGAGAGCCCAAGCAGGGGGAGCCATAGGCAGAGGGAGAAGCAGACTCCCCGCTGAGCAGGAAGCCTGACGAGGGACTTGATTCAGGACCCTGGGATCATGACCCGAGCCACTCAGGCATCCCAAATCCCCACATTCTAGAATGAAGGGTTAGGGGCCATAGGTCCTATACTTCTTACCATCACTGGGCCCTTGCCAAAGTACAAAATCAATAAAACTTTTAAAAACATGTCTAAATCTTTGGTAAACTGCAATAAATTATGTTTTGTAAACTGCAATGAATTATGAACATGAATTATGTTACTCAATGCTTTTAATAGAAAAATCATGATAAAAGCTTCTACCAAGGTTTAAAACTAGTTAGAATTTATCTCATCAAATTAACTTGCATTCTGTTTTGGTTTGTTTTCATCAGTTTTACCTTTTGGAAAACTGCATTTACTTACTCTTTTGTGTTGGAACTGGAGCTCAGAGCAAAATTTAGAACTCAATTGTAATGACCATCCTATCCCAGGCTCTTCATCCTTCTAAAACCTTATTTGAAATTTTTTAATTTGATTTGCCCTGTTCTATGTGTGTGTTATGTGGGTTCCAAATGATTTTTAGAAGTAGGCATAGGAAATATATTACAAATAAAATTAAATATTTTAATGAAAATCTAATATTCTCATACATAAAACCGAATTCCTTCTTGTTAAAGTTTCAACTTTCATTCATTCATTCAACTCAGCAGATGTTAATTAAGCATCTACGAGCAAGGTGCTCTGCTAAGTGCTCTGCATGAAATACATCTGTGCAAGATGGAAAGTGTATACACATTTAAAATGCAAGACAGCAAATGTCATATACAAAGTAGGAACAAATGCTAAAGAGCAGAGGAAGGAAGGACCTTTCACTCTATTAAAAAAACAAGAGTACTGCATGGAGTGTGGCCGGAGACTGGGGAGATGGGAGTGATTGACTGCTTGTCTCTGGGGGTGCACTGAGGAGCGGGGTCCCGAGTTCTCGGCTCCTCTGGAGCGGAGGTTGGGAGGCCGCCATTTTCACTCTCCTCCTCCAAAGCTGTACGGAAAGCT